CCCTGGAGATAGCAAGTGGATCTGAAGATGGCACCATACGACGCTGGAACCCGAATACTGGTCAACAAATAGCACCACCCATAGAGACCAGTCATGGATGGGTTTATGCTGTCAAATACTCTCCAAAAGGCGACAAGTTCATGAGCGGTGGGGTTGACGGTTCAATCTGCATATGGTCAATGGACGGCAAGCTGCTTATCGAAATCAAGGGACATGAGCACTGGGTGGCGTCATTGTGTTGGTCCAAGGACGGTGCACACATCTTCTCTGCTTCACTTGATAAAACTATCCGAAAATGGCGGGTTATTGATGGACAGGAACTCGTTGTTCTTCAGGGTCACACCCGCGCCGTCAGATCACTCTGTCTTACTCCGAATGAAAGCTATATTGTTAGCGGATCATACGACCATTCCATTCGTATCTGGGATCTCAAGACTAACCAGGCTGTCGGAGATCCACTCTTGCATGATGACCAAGTCTTCGCTCTTGCCTTGTCCCCCGATGGCAAATACATTGCCAGTGCTGGACTAGACAAAAAAATCTACGTGTGGAATCTGGAAGCGATGCTCAAAAACGTTGTCGTGCGTATGCACTTTGTTGTCTAATTTCCCTTCCTAATGGTTTTCACTTTCTAGGGTGCAGATGATGGGAATGCAAAGCTAAAGGCAGGTCTTTTCTGCTTCTCTTTCACACTGCATCTCACCTTTTACTAGGAACGTACAGCCCAGCCTAACACCGAGACACAGGGCAATGATTCCTTTGGCGACGAATTAGATGATGCATCTCGTCGTGCAGCTCCTCCTGTAAGTCCATCATCCTTCATTCATTGGCGTTGTTTTACTCAGTTCCATTTCGGCACACAACCTTCAAATGCATCCCAACCAATCGAACGACGGTGCTGACACTATAATTTCAACCTCAAGTCGTTTTCTGGAGGACATTCCACGCACGCCGTCGGTGTCTCTCTTGCTCAAGATGAAAATGTGAGTAACTCGTCGTCCCTCCAATTTCGTTGCATTATAATACACTGCAGAGATATGGCATTGTCCCTGAAACTGATGCGGAAGCGGCTGCAGCTATGGAACGTACGAACAGCAACCAGGCCGACAATGCAACGCAATCAGGTCAACCAGCAGGGGCACAACCATCTCAAGCACTGGCAGGGGCACAACCATCTCAAGCGCTGGCAGGGGCGCAAGGGTCTCAAGCACGACCAACAGAAACACACCAGTCAACTGGTGGAAGGGAAAAAGTTTCCTACGAAGTTACCTGTTGCTGCTGCCGATTTTACTTTGGTCGTCCTCCCACTTCGCGTCAGTCATAAAATCATCTAGCAACCCTGTTACTCAATTGTTTCTTATGCATCATGTATCTTACACATAGCTCACTCTCCAAATGCACCATCCGCCTCGCGACAGACTCGTCCTGTAAATCAAATACGTAACGAACTCTACCAAACCCCCACCAATCATCTCGTACAGCCCAAGCCTCACTCCATGAACGACACTGAATAAACCGCAGGACAAGACATCACGCCGTGATATCCACAAATGACATGTCTGACAAATGGATCATGCTACTAGGGCCACGTGGATGTTGGTTTGTCTGCCAGAGATGGATGTGCATGCGCGCGGCAAAAATCGCAAGGGTCAGGAACTGGAAACTGCACGTGGGTGTACATTTCGAGTGTTATCAGTAGGAATACGCAGTAGGATGCGGAGGTACATACCCATTCAAAACTGTCCGGTAGGAGTCCTGGGGCGCAGAAAATCAACGGCGCATCATAGACGACCTGTAGAATATACACCCACCTGGAGGAACAGCGATGTGAACATGTTCATTGTCGCGAAAACTTCAGGAAACAAAATTATCATCGATGAGCACAGAAAAACGGCGCGTGCAAGCGTTAACTCACAGAAAGAACTAGTATAATAGAATATGTTATGGTTCACCAGGACAACGTACAGATGACACGGGGTTCTCCGCCAGCCCTGCATGGCACGTATGAGCGTGATGATGATCAGCCCTGGGGAGAATGTTTGTTAGCGCGTATTTGTACGTATCTATGCACCGTGTTACCCAGTTCGAACACAGAAAAGAGAACAAATGGGATAAAAATCCGGTCACTGGTTGAACTCTGGTAACACCCTGTGATGCCCGGGATCGGGCTAGTCGCATCTGTGAAAGTGAACAGAATGTTTCAGTTATCATGGAACACCAGAGGGAAGGTGAGAGCGCGTACATGCTGCGGAGATGTTAGCGTCGATGGCAATGACGATGGTTGCTGCGAGAAACGACTGACTGATGGATCTACCACTGGCTTGTGTATGGTGAGTGGATTGGGAACTCACGAGATAGGTGCCCAAGATGGCCGTTAGCAAAATTTTATTTCTGTCCCAGAGTACATATGTCCTGAGGATGAAAAACCCTGGATGAATCGGATCAGCAACATGCATATCTTAGGGAGGAAGGAGATATACACTCGGCGCAAACAGATAATAGAATGCCGAACCCTGTGAGAGAGAGTAGGCTGCCCTCAGCAATACTGTACATAGATGAATGTACCAGTGCACGTACCTAAGCTAATATTGGCCAACATCCTGCATGTCTGGCGAAGTCGTAGAGTAAGTTGTTCGTTCTCATTAACTCTCCACTTCATTACATACAACTAGGTTCTCATTCGGGGTAAAGATCACTGAAAAAAAATGTTAATGAATCAAACAAGGCGATGTGTGCTGGAGCGGAACGTACTATATAGATCTATGACGAGAAGGATAAAGGGAAGGTATCTTGTAACAATATACACGCCTTTCATCTTGCTCCAGTGCGATTGAAGCAAAAATATCCACTTTGCATATCACCTTGTGTGTATCAAATCTAAAGCGTATCATGGAAGAAGCGTATTACCTCTTCATGAAGTGAACATGCATAATCATAGGCCTAGATAAGGGAGTTACAGCGGACATGAATAAACGAGAATAAGCCTACCCAGAACGCAGCCATCGATGCTGAGCTGTATCAGGACAAATAATATGACGTTCAAACAGTAGTACGCACTATATATGTACTGGTATACATAACTTGTGAGTTATGATTCATCGTCGTATCGACAAGGAGACATACCGTGGAGAGCTGCAAACTCCTTGCTGCTGCGACATCGTCAATCGAATACTCCATTTCAAAGAGGTCAAAAGATGTCTTTCACATCATGAGCCTTCTCAGCTATTGAGCCTTAAGCGCATCAGGATAGCAGTGTAAATACCGGGGACCATGATCGAGTTAGTTCGAGTTTAAATTTAGTTTACTGTGGCCGTAATGAAGCGTTTTATCGTTCACCACTTGTACCGGCCGGAGAGCGACTTGATAAAAGATAAGTACAGTTGTTCTCTAGGAAATTCAGAGAACCATCATCAGGTCGGTTCAAGAAGAACCGTGGACCGGACCATCGGTTCGGTCCAATAATGGTCCGGTTTCGGTTCAGCAAGGGTTCGAGACCTGGAGCCAAAAACAGTATGTCAAAAATGTTCAAACATAGTTAGGTACAAAAGTCGAACGAACAACTAAACTAGCGATACATTACTTCGACATCCTCGACATCTTCGTCATGGAGTACAGGGTATCCCCAATCGTGTTGCTCGTAAATAAGTCTCTGCGAATTGATCGGCTGATATCTGGCAACTCCAGCAATAAATGACAGTAGCTCGGCATTCACTGACTGGAGAGGAGCGGATGAGATGACCTCGGAAGAAATTTTAAGGGCTCACTGAAGCGTATGTTTGGTTTATATCTTGAGCACACAACAGACGGAAGAGAATCAGTGAGTGCCAAGTCGTTTGCACTATGATTCGATCCAGTAAGTAGCTGAAAGGATAGAAATGAAAAAGCTAACACATACAGCAGTCACGATGATACTTTTCGATGGCCTCGTCATCTTCAGCAGTGTAGATGATGTCACTGGGTGCATTTAGGTCGACCCCACTTTGAACAGCATCACCGTGACCGATCAACAATTTGGTGATTCGGAGATACATCGGAGTCTGAAGTTTGTTTGTTTGCCAAGACGCCTCCGACGGAAAAGAGATTAGCCAGATGCTTGGAAGCGAAGCCTAAGCATCAGCGTCCAGCTGAGCGCCATTGAGTCTGACCGCCGTCTTAGCATCCGCCGCAGTCGTCCGTCTCCGAAGATAGGGACCTGGTAGCAGGGCAAGAGGACGGCTAGGAAAGTGGATGCGGGCGTGCGGTTTCGAACCTGCGAAAGTTCTCATCAGAGGGCTACCGCTACCCCTACCGCTTGTCCATCTCATTATCGTTTAGGGATACTACTGCTAAGCCTATATATGCAGTGGGAGTGGGTGGTCCGTGCCACCACTGCAACCGACCACTCTAGGGCCGGCCAGCTGACTACGTAACCGGTGACCCACCGCAAGGGCAGTTTACGGATGGGGAGGAGAGGGTTGGGGCTAGGACGGAAACTTCGTATCTAAGATTCGGTCGACGCGGGCCTTTATCCCGTGGATCGGTGATCACGAGGCCCCACACCATCGTACTGGACTGGACCCTGTTTCGGGTACAGCGAGATTCCTTCGTTCCCATGCGAATATGCGACGAAGCTGGAATGGCATTCCAGCAAATGTAACAAGGGGCCGAGGCTTCCATACTCAAATACCCAGAAGACTTCATTCAAATGTCTCCCTTTAAAATGCAGCCAACATGGTATTCCGCGCTATCCAAACCTCTCAAAACCAACCTACACACGGACTTTTATCGATAAACCACAAGGTATGAATAGACCCCAGTCGGCAACTAACGTTTAATTACTTTTGCGACATATGCAGAAGATCAAATATACCTCTTGTCCATGCCAAACCCCGCTTAACCTCTGAACAACGGTGTCCGATGGAAGATTAAGAAAGTCGATACACTATGCCTGTCCAAGGGTGCGTATCAGGCCTTTTGACATGAGTGCGCTCCCGTTCCTTGCTGGCTGTGATGTCATGGCTGTACCGTATCATAACTTCGTTACCATGGATCAAGTCGAATTTGTCGTAGCATAAATGATAATGTACAGCAGCTGAGACTACGGACGTCAAATAGATATGGCCATCCAAATGCTCCACCCACCCCACGACAGACTCATCCTGTAAATTAAACATGTAGTAACGAACTCTACCAGACCCACCCCCACCAGTCATCTTGTATAGTCCAAACCTCGGGCCAGGAACGAAACTGGATAAACCACATGATAAGACATCACGCTGTGATATGCACATATGACATGTCGGACAATGGAATATGAACCAGGCCGCTTGAGCCGCGTAGATGTTGGTTTGTCTGCCAGAGATGGATGTGCATGCGTGTGGCAACAGTCGCAAGGGCTAGGAACTGGACACTGTACATGGGTGTACATTTCGAGTGTGATTAGCAGGAATACGCAGTGGGATGCAGAGGTACATACCCATCCAAAACGGTCTGATAGGAGTCCTGGGGCGCAGAACATCAACGGCACATCATAGAAGACCTTTAAAATATTCACGCACCTGGAGGAGCAACGATGTGAAGATGTTCATTACTGAGAATACTTTAGGAAACAGAACGACCATGAATGAGCACAGAAATAGCGCATACGAGTGTTAACTCACGGAAAACGCAAGCATAATATAATATGTTATGGTTCATCAGGACAATGTACAGACGGCTTGTGTTTCTCCGCCAGCTATATATGGCACGTATGAGCGTGAGGATCATGAGTCCTGGGGAGAACACCTGTCAGCGCCTGTTGGTACACATATATGCTCCTGGTTACCCAGTCCGAACACAGAAAAGAGAACAAATGGGATAAAAATCTGGTCACTGGTTGAACTCTGGTAGCACCCTGTGATGCCCAGGATCGGGATAGTCACATCTGTGGAAGTGAAAAGAATGTTTCAGTCACACCAGAGGGAAGGTGAGAGTGCGTACAGGCTGCGGAGACGGTAGTGTCGACGATAATGCTGACGGATCCTACGAGACACAGCTGGCTGGTTGATTTACCACTAGCTTGTGTATGGTGAGTGGATTGGAAACTCACGAGATAGGTGACCAGGATGGCCGCGAGCAAGATTTTATTTCTGTTCCAGAACACATACGTCCTGATGATAAAAAAACCTGGATAAATCGGATCAGCAATATGCATATCTTAGGGAGCAAGGAGAGATACAGTCGGAGCAAATAGCTAATATCATGCCGAGCCCTGTGAGAGAAAGTGGGCTGCCCTCAGCAAGGTTGCACATAAATGAATGTACCATGGACGTACCTGAGGTAATATTGACCAACATCCCGCATTTCTGGGGAAGTCATGGAGTAAGTCGCTCGTTCTCATTAACTCTCCACCTCATCACATACAACTAGGTTTTCATTCGGGGTAAAGCTCACTGGAAAAAAAAGTGTTGATACATGAATCAGGGCGATGTGTGCTGGAGCGGAACGCACTATATAAATTTGTGATGAGAAGGATAAAGGGAAGGTATCTTGTAACAATATACAAGCCTTTCATCTTGCTCCAGTGCGATTGCAGCAAAAATGACCACTTTTTATGTCATATTGTGTGCATCAGCCTGAGATCTAAAGCGTATCATGGAAGAAGTGTATTACCTCTTCATGAAGTGAACATGCATAATCATAGATCTGGATAAGCGAGTTTGACGGTGGGTATGAATAGATAAGAGTTGAACCCTACCCAGAATGTAGCCATCGACGCTGAGCTGTATCAGGACACATAATATGACGTTCAGACGGTACTACGCACTATATATGTACTGGTGTACATGACTTGTCAGTTATGATTCATCCTCGGCGACATGGAGACATACCTTGGCGAACTGCAAACTCGTTGCTGCTGCGACATCGTCAGTCGAATACTCCATTTCAAAGAGGTCAAAAGATGTCTTTCACACACATCACTGGCATGAGCCTTCTTAACTATCGAGCGGTCAACGCATCAAGATGGCAGTGTAATTTTAAATACTAAATACCGCGGACCATTGAGTTTGAATTTAGTTGATTGCGGTCGTGATGATAGATTTTATCACTCACTAGATGTACTACCAGCCGGAAAGCGACTTGGTAAAAGATACTTTGGCCGCCTGAGGCAGTAGTATCCCCAATAGTCAACTAGTAATATCATGCTCGTTTCCGAGGCACATAAAATTGTTATTACTAATTTGGTCTTTAGTCAAACTACATATTGATTAATCCAGAACGCACCTGGCAATAACTATTAGTACCAGTACTCACCTCGGTGGTCGTTTTTTCAAGGTGCCGTTTTGAAGTAACCAACCTCTTTGCAATGGATATCAGATTACACAATTATACATCCCACATGACAGGTAATAAATCACTAGGAGGCAACAAAAGGTAGTCAAGCAATTGTGATAAAGACAAAACTGCGGCCGGCACTCTCCGGACAACTTCTGCCACCGACCAACTTTCAACTTTCATCTCAGCACAGACAGTTGAGACATAGCGTGTTTTATTCACCTTGTAATTTGAATCAAACAACGCTTTTACAGAGTCACATTAGATTCTTGCGTCGCTTGAGGTAGCCCCCTCCTGCTATCAATTGCATTAGCCACCTGAAGGCCTGACTCACAGTGTTCGGGCGATTGAACATATATATACAAGTCACTCCACCCTATCAAAAACATGCACTCACCGCTCATAACTGTCCAGATACAACTACAAGTCTTAAACGCAAGATGTTCAAAAAGCCTCCCTAACCAAGCTTCAAATTTGGTCCCTCGCGACATTCAACCCGCGGTAGTGCTTAGTCGCTCTGAATATCTGGATCAGATAAAAAGCTTAGACAATGGATGAGAACAAGGTGCGTCCGGAAATCCTTAGCATTTTCTGCAGCAAGTTAGATCTGATTTTGAAGTGCAGAAATCGAGGGTGACTTCAACCTTCTTTTCTCCGACTCATCTCGCCTTCTAACACTATGGCATGGCCGACCAACTCACTGGAAATTAAACATCGTGTCTCCTCGCTCCTGGGTGTTCTTACTTCATCACCTTCCGAGCATCCATCAGAGAAGTGCCGCGTGTGAGTACTAAATTTTGAGCACCTTTATCCAGGCTTATGTGCTCAGTTCTTAAACAGTATATCAATTTTTTTCCAATGCTGCTCCTCGTAATTCAGTCCTCCGCTTGCCTATTTACACCATGTTACGCCGCCAACAATGGAGAGCTTGAGACTTTACGTTCATCCAGCAAGATGTCGAGGAGTTGTTACAAGAATTGGATATGTCTGGGGAAGAGCGCAGTCAATTGTTCAAGTCCATTGCTGATGCATTCATACAATGTGGCCAGCCGTACGTATTCTTCCATTTGACTGATCAAGGTTGTGGTTGACATCTGACTCATACAGGGAAACCGCTTATCATCACACGCTTCTTACGTCTCTTCATCACCATCCTCTTCCCCTGAAAGTCAATCTGCAGCGATCGATGTCATAGCCTTGGCATTGTACTCACCCACCTTGTTCTACTTTGACCCATTGTTCAAGTTGGACGCTGTTGTCTCTGCGAAAGATCACGAGGCTTTCTCACTTCTCCAGGTGTTTTTAAGTAGTGGTCTACCAGAATTACATTCGTCGCTCGAAAGCCATCCCGCTATTCTCGAAAAATATGGTAAGTCGGTTCATTATGATTAATACCACACATTTAAACCATTAATGGGCCTGCAGAACTCGACTGAGCATAGCTTGAGCGGCGGATACGTCTTCTGTCATTTGTGTCACTGTTTTGCACACATCGGGCATGACCCGCCGTATTCAGAGGTCGCGTCGATCTTGCAGATTGATTTGAGTGAAGTAGAGAAGTGGGCGATCGATGGTACGTCCTCTTGGCATCCTGTCGTTTATAATAATCTTTGAATATTGATTCGTACCTGTCTTCTTGCTGGAAAGCTCTCGCAAACTACTCAATCTCCACACGTTTACCGTTCGTCAGCGCGCACGTTTGAGCGAGAGCAATGGGAGGCGTGTTGTTACGTAGAAGGCGGGCCTAGCGAGCGTGCTGGGGTTTGTTACTAGTGCACGAAAATGCGGTAACGGTTTCGGCTGTGGGTGAAGTCGTGCAACAGGTCACGCAGACAGGTGAGAGCATACCGCGTGGCCTACATCAGGGTTCCTCTGGTCAGCGAATCAAGGCCATGGTTGTTGACTGCAATATGAGGGAAAGCTGGTGAAGTTCATCCGAAGTTCTGAACATGGCTTCGGCTTTGATGTAACTCTCTGCTTACTGAGACGAGAGAACTTTGGTTTGGGCACTATCAACGCCCAGAGGTGTTGATTACAGCAATACTGCGCAGCCAACATCAAGGGACTTCTGTACCAATATGTTCCCGTCAGTTACGCAATCACTTGTCACTACCGGTAGTGCTTTGCTCGGGAGTGCTGCTACGTACTATACAGATTCGATGTGTATGCACCAACTCAAACAAACATCATATAATTCCACTCGCTGACAAGACGTACATAACAGACCATTGTACATCGAACTGCCTCAGAATTTTAACTGGACCAAGGTAGATACTTGATCTGGTAACACTGACATGCGCTGGCAGCGAGGCGCCTGCAATTACAGCCCAAATAGCAGGTTGTCTCATCACTTTCACCCCGTATTTTTCCTGCTTTCCTGCCGTAATCTGACTCCACTGAGGGTGGTGATCAATGATGGCGACAAAAAGTTGATAGGAAAGATACGGTAGTCTGGTAGATTAATCTGATTCTACAGCTGAGGGTGGTAATCAATGATGGTGATAAAAAGTTGACTACCACTCGTTTCATATATATATAGATGTTGAGTGTGCTAACCCGATCCTTCTTGTATGATCTTGCAATGTGAAATATATAATAAGAAGGCTCAACGTTCAACCATGTTGACATGAGTGCGCTCCCGTTCCTTGCTCGCTGTGATGTCATGGCGGTACCGTGTCATAACTTCGTCTTCATGAGTTACTACGGACAACTGTGTGTGATCAAGTCAAATTTATTGTAGCATAAATGATAATGTACAGCAGCTAAAATTACAGTCGTCAAACAGATAAGGCCATCCAAATACTCCTCCCGCCTCGCGACAGACTGATCCTGTAAATTACACATGTAGCGAACTCTACCAGACCCACCCCCACCAGTTATCTTGTACGGTCCAAGCCTCGCTCCATGAACGACACTGGATAAACCACATGATAAGACATCACACTGTGACATCCGCAGATGATATGTCGGACAATGGAATATGAACGAAGTCGCTAGTAGAGCCGCGTGAACGTTGGTTTGTCTGCCAGAGATGGATGTGCATGCGTGTGGCAACAGTCGCAAGGGCTATGAACTGGATACTATACATGGGTGTACATTTCGAGTGTGATTAGCAGGAATACGCAGTAGAATGCAGAGGTGCATACCCATCCAAAACGGTCTGGTATGTTTCCTGGGGCGCATAACATTAACGGCGCATCATAGAAGACCTGTAGAATATTCACGCACCTGGAGGAGCAACGATGTGAAGATGTTCATTATCGAGAATACTTCGGGAAATAGAATGATCATGGATGAGCACAGAAAAATAGCGCATACGAGTGTTCACTCACGGAAAACGCAAGCATAATATAATATGTTATGGTTCATCAGCACAATGTACAGACGGCTTGTGTTTCTCCACCAGCTTTGTATGGCACGTATTAGCGTGAGGATCATGAGTCCTGGGGAGAACACCTGTCAGCGCCTGTTGGTACATATATATGCTCCTGGCTACCCAGTCCGAACACAGAAAAGAGAACAAATGGGATAAACATCCGGTCACTGGTTGAGCTCTGGTAGCACCCTGTGATGCTCGGGATCGGGCTGGTCACATCTGTGGAAGTGAAAAGAATGTTTCAGCTACACCAGAGGGAAGGTGAGAGTGCGTACATGCTACGGAGGCGGTAGCGTCGACGATAATGCTGACGGATCCTACGAGACACAACTGGCTGATTGATTTACCACTAGCTTGTGCATGGTGAGTGGATTTGGAACTCACGAGATAGGTGACCACGATGGCTGCGAGCAAGATTTTGTTTTTGTTCCAGAACACATATGTCCTGATGATGAAAAAACCTGGATGAATCGGATCAGCAACATGCATATCTTAGGGAGGAAGAAGAGATACAATCGGCGCAAGTGGCTGCTATCATGCCGAGCACTGTGAGAGAAAGTGGGCTGCCCTCAGCAAGGTTGTATATAGATGAATAGACCATGGACGTACCTGAGGTAATATTGACCAACATCCCGCATTTCTGGGGAAGTCACAGAGTAAGTCGTTCGTTCTCATTAACTCTC